ACATTTTATTTTATGAATGACCAAATATAGAAATCAATGAGATAGTTTCCATTAATTTGAACATATCATTAATATTGCAAATAGGCCCTTTCACGGTTATTGCAGCCATGTTGGATAGGGGGAAGATTTTCATAATGGAGGTAAAAATGGTTTGAAAAATACGGGAGAACATCATGGAAACAGAACAGTTGCATGTAAACATGCATAGGATTTCCCGTCCTTTCATACTATTTCCACCTCTATCCCTAAAATCTGTCCTCTATTCGGCAAGGTGTCCAAAAGAAGGAGGTATGATAAGGAAACATTTTTAGTCTTTGAGATATCATTGTTTATATTTTTATTGTGTTATATATGCATTTCATTGAAAACGGCAAAATCTGCCAACATATCCTCAATCTGAAATATGTTCATTAATATCTAAATATGGACTATTGCCATATAAACAGATTATTTTCATACGAAACATATATGGTAATGTCTAATTTGGACTAAAAAGATCTATTTCAAAATAATTTTTTAGAGTTTTTAGTTTTTGTCGTTAACGACAAATTAAGTATAGTTTCATTTGTATATCGAAATACAATTTATTTTATATCTTATCATAATATGCAAGAAGATAATAAAAGTTTTTTAAGATTTTTATGATTTTTAAGATTTAGCCAGCGTTTTAAGTGTTTATGGTAACATACTTATTTAACCCCGCCACATTATTAATGTGCCCGTCCCAAGTCAGGAGGCTGTAGTTCAGTGGTTGTCGTTGGTTCATGTCTGTCATATTTGTTTTTTGTAAATTGTTTTGTTATATATTAGGCCGTTAGTTTTCTCAATTGAATTGTTTCATATTTTTCATATCGGGACTTTTTATAACCGATTATACGGTATGAATTTCTTCTCATTGTAGACGGCCGTACGGTTGCCTATAATTGCTTACATCCACTTTATTTGAACTTGGTGGATAGTTGTCTCATTGGCAATCATTCCACATCTCCTTATTTTTATATTGAATAATGAAGCACTCGATTACGAAAGACACTAAAAAAGTTAGAAAAAAAATATAAGGGCATAGATGAAGAAAGAAAAATAATATGCTTCTGAGAATACTTTTTATGATTTGTGAATTTCGTTAATTTCGTTAATTTTGTAAAGACTTTGCTCAATTTTCGGGTAAAAGTGGAGATCTTACAGTATTTGTCGATTTGCAAAATTCATGAGTTACGAGAAATTAAGTTCCAATCTGCCTAAGAATCAGGCAGTGGTGAAAACATGACAAATAAAAACCACTCAAGTTTACATTAATTTAAGTTAAAAATGTATAACTGTGCACGAATATAACTTTGTTTCCTTTTTCTGTTTTGGTAATTCAAGAGATAGTTTGGTTGAAATGCACTGGAAACTACCAATTGAGGGGAGCTAACTCCGTCATTTGCTATCATTCTAAACAAAAGTTATCTAGAGATTTCTCGAAATACCAGACACGCAGAAACGAAAGACCTACCATTTCTAACTCAGGATGAAGGTAACTTCAAATTAGAATGGTTAGGTCAGAGGTTTTTTTTTTCCTGTCATGTTTTGAAATTCTTCTAAATTGCCTGATTCTTACAAAGACTGGCACTTTATTATAAAACAACAAAATTGTAATCGTTAATTTACTTTAAGATATATATTATGATAAAGGTGTTTATACATTTCAATTTCAAAATGTATTCCTTAAATTAAGATTGTTGTCTAATTCAAGCCGATTGGATATTGTTTCGAACAAATACTGGTACAAAGTCTTTCCAGCGTCCAGGTTCGAAAAGACAACAAAGATTCTATTTTTTTAGTGCTTCATAGTTGTAAAATGATTAATTTCAATTTAACAAAGACATAGAAATGAACATGGATATATCACTGTAGGACTAACTCTGGCACATCCCCACATTTAGTAGATACGAATAAGGGGAGGTTATTGGTAATGGTTCTATGAGACAGCAAAACAACACCACACACAAAGTCCTAAAGACATTTTGTGAGTATATAAATGAAATCAATGAAAAAATTCTACCATTTAAAATCAACAGTTTAAGCATGCAGAAATCAATGTAACAGCAATAAGAATTCTTATATATTTTCAGCATTCGAACTGAATAATTAAATGCAACAGGAATCAAAATGCTACACAGCTCAGTACTGCTGACTATATTCATAACATTTGTAGCATGTTTAGAAAAAACTAATGGTAAGTATTTTCCTCTTTTTCTCTGTCATTGAGGAAACTATTTCCTTATCGCAATGGAACATGATAAAACGAATTCCCGAAAGAACACCGTTTTTGGCATGGTGAATGGTATGAAATGTTCATCCTGGAAGACGAAATCCATCAAATTTCAAGACGAAGAATATAAATAACAGCACCGTTCATTGATAAAGTAGTTATATCCTTGTATTGTGTTATAATCAATTGCAGAGTGAATGAGCAGGCTATGATATGCATTGTAATTTGTGGTGATTAGATCCCAAATTTTGTAAGGAAGATCCACCATGAACCCCTCTAAAACTGAACATGAACTCATGTGTATTAGAAAATATACCGGTGTAGATGGAAGTTATGCTTTTAACCCCTATACAAGAGGACAATAATATTAGGATTAAGATCACAATTAAGCAAGCTTTTATATCTTTTAACGGTTTTGTTGAATTTCATATATATACTTCTATGACTGCAGCATGATTTGATTACACTTCTTTTTTAATAAAAAGAAACTTCAAGAAATCTCGAAAGCACCAAAAAATGATTATCAAAAGTTAATATACCGGAAGACAAACACCCTTTCCGTATAATTCATCAACCCAATATAAAAAAAATGGCATCAACTCAAAATTTCGATGTGACTAAAATGACAAAGTTCGTATCTGAGGACATTTATTGTTTTCATATAGATTGTATCAAACATTGCCTCCTTTTACGTGAAAGGTAGGGGATCAGATCGTAAACCTTGGCTAGCGAAGATGCCATTTACAATGAGAGAATGTCAATGATAAAACCGGATATTGGTGCTAAATTTTTTTTTTTTTACGGTAGGTACCTTTATCATAAATATCGGAACAAATGGTCGAATTTTCATATGTAACAGCAGTACTAGTGTGTCATCAACAATCTGTTCCTATAACTGGAATGACCAAGATGCTTCAGTTATATACAAACAAACAGGAATGAGAGACAATGGAAGAGCAACATACCCTGCTCGGGAACACACATATGAAAGGAGTGTTTTATACAATGTGCGGGAACAGAAAATAAAATTACAGAATGTTTATAAGTAAACAGTCATAATATAGGCATGTTTGAATCCCCATAGGATGCTGGAGTTGAGTGTTATAGTAATGGTATGTAGACTGTGTGTACTCTCAGATTTGTACTTAATGTCTTCATTGTATTTGGTTTTTTTTTGTGTGCTTTGAATCGATCTGATGAAGTAACATTATCTGAGTGAGTTTTGTAGTTTGTTCTTATGTTGTGCTGTTACATCACTTTTCCAGGTTAGGGGAGTATTGGGGGCCTTCAATCATGTGTAACCCCACTTCGTTCTGTATTTGCCAGTCCCAAATCAGGAACCTTTTATTTAGTGGTTTTTGGTTGTTGCTGTATTACATATTTGTTTATCGATTGTATTAACATTTTGTGAATGAATTAGATGAAATCAGGCCGTTCGTATTTTCGTTTGAATTGTTTTACGTTTGTCATGTAAGGGCCATTTATAACTTGACTTGATATGCGATATGGATTTTACTGCTTGATGAAGGCCGTACAGTTACTTATAGGTGCAAACTTCTACGTCATTTGGTCTCTAGTTGAGAGTTGCCTCATTGGCAGTCAAACTGCTACTTATTTCTATTCTGTATTGGAAATACAAGTGAAATTGCTAAAAGAAATAATTGAAGCAGCATTTGAAATAATCCAACTTTAATTGATGGATCATGTGAAACAAACAAAAATAACTTTTGTTTCTTTAAGTGTAAATGTTTTTCTTGATTTCCGTGTAAAATATAAATATAAATCGAAAATAGCAAAATCTGATTAAGATAAGAATAATTTCTAAAAATTGAGCCGTGACGATTCAACAGGGTTATCATATCCTGCTATAATTTCATCACCCATTAATCCTGTCAAATTCATCAGATTAAGCTATATTATCCTTGAAATGCAAACATTAACTGTAAAGAGACATGTAACTCTAGTCCATAACGCAAATGAAAAACAAAAATGAAACAAGAAGACAAATTTTTCTATTTAAATACAGACCGAAGACTTGAGACAGAATACATGATTGTAGCTTGGTTTCATAATTCGTATCTGACTTCTGTATAATCACAATTATAAATACTTATTACAGGGTATGTTATTTGATATTCAAACATGAAAGGCATCTTTGTTGAAAACATTTTGAAATAGCTTTAAAAAATTAGATACATATATTTCAGTATAGAGTGTATTTATAATTGTGATTCTTTTCGACACTTGCTGGACCTTTGATGCCTTATTTTGATATCAAACGAAGAAAAGTAACGTTGATGTCATCTCTTAGACAGTTTTACAGACGCCGCCTTCTTTCTTTTCTTTTTTTTTTGCTTTTGAGAATATATGTCACAATTTACTACGGATATGCTCCACGTGCTGTCTCCATAATCAAGTCATCAATTTCTTATAAATGACTTGCCATGAGTAACACGGTAAATGTCACGCGTGTATTGTTCCTTGTACATTTTCCATTGTAACATCGGTCCTTTCTAGTGCATAACAGGTATTTTATGTAAGCATATAATTTTAAACTTAAATCAAGAAGCATATATTCGAGATGGTAATTACCCTTTTATTGAACTGCAAAAAGGTATATAACTTGTCTTTAATTGTTACAGGTAATACTTCAGTGCAAGTAGGATCTGATGGTCGTGTACTTTTGTACAAAGCAGAGACAGATAATACTTCATCAATATGTTCCTACAATTGGGACGATCAAGATGCTACTGTTGTATGCAAGCAAACTGGAATGGGAGATATTGGTAAAGCAACATATATCGATCGGGATTACAATTTCAGTAGGAGTATGTTTAACGTTTACTGCACAGGTAACGAAACCGATCTATCAGAGTGTACATATGACACCAGTGACAGTATGGGAATGTGTGATTATGTGCAAGATGCTGGAGTTCATTGCATCGATACAGGTATGTTTTCGTGATAAGTGGTATCTAAACATGACCAATGCCATTATGATTATAAAATTTACAGGCACGAACTTGTTGCTATAATTTCCGTTGTTCAATTCAAAACCATAAAAAGAAAAACATATTGGAAAAAAGAAGCATCTATCAGTAGGTGTACCACCTTTTAATTCCGTGTATAAGAAAAAAAGCCACATACAATGCTCAAGTACAATAATTAAATATATTTCATTTCGTTTGAAATTGGGGTTTTGCCGTTTGCTATTTGTAGGACTTATATATAGATGGGATCTAGTATAACTAGTTCTGCAACAGTATTTACGATTTATAAAATTTAATGTTAGGTGCATAAGGCACGAGAAAAGTTTTGGGCGGTTTCTACGAGTAGGTTTTTATGCTACTATATAAAGTTTGGTATTTACATGTATTAGTATCGAAGGTGCTCGCAGTTACGTCGAATCGAAGATAGTCACATGATCATATATACAGTTGCTGCTACGTTAATTACGTGTAATTATAATGTGTTTGAAAGGGGAAAAACTGTACGATTTTAAAAATAAAAAGTATATAGCAAGAAAAAATAATATGTTACTGCGAGAAACTAATGCTATTTCTGCGTTTGTCTTGTTTATAGCCAATTGAATTAAGAGTAGATATACTTTAAATTCAGACAGAAAGGCGAGGGGGAATTTGAAGATAGTAAAATATTAAGTTTTCAGTTTATTCAATTAGTAGTCGGGTATACTTAATTTTACATGTTTAAATTCAATAAAGAGTGATGATTTGAGTAGTGCTGAAAATTTTTCAGCTCAAAACGAATTGTCATTTTGTCTTTTCAGTTATCGTGCGGTGATAGCCAGAAAAGATTTTACACTAAATAAAGCTAATTATTGTTTATCGAATGGAAGGTATAATATATTTGATTTCTCTTTATAGTTGCAGGTAATATTTCAGTGTTTGTTGGATCTGATGGTCGAGTACTTTTGTACAACGCAGATACTTATAATACTTCATCAATATGTTCCTACAATTGGAACGATCAAGATGCTACAGTTGTATGCAAGCAAACTGGCATGGGAGATATTGGTAAAGCAACATATATCGATCGGGATTACAATTTCAGTAGGAGTATGTTTAACGTTTACTGCACAGGTAATGAAACCGATCTATCAGAGTGTACATATGACACCAGTGACAGTGTGGGAATGTGTGATAATGTGCAAGATGCTGGAGTTCATTGCATCGATACAGGTATGTTTTCTTGATGAGTGGTATCTAAATATTAACGATGTTTATAAGAGTTACATAGCTGAAGTTGTTACTAAAATATATGTTGTTCGGATTAACAGAATCATTACAAAAGCCATTGTACTGATCATTTTGAGTCCTTGTTAACACAAATAGAAAATCCAATGCAATGAAATCTATAGTTTTCCGGGTATAGGATACATTTGTAATACGGATATATTAAATTGTAATCATATTTCAATTACCAAAGATAAATACCGCAATGTAAAGTCTATTGTTACAATCATAAATTTTCGTCGCTGAGGATCAGAAAATACACGATCATTATGTTTCTTGTAGATCAGACCCAATTGGTTTTGGGACCGGATGGTCGAATACTCTTTTATAACACTCAGACAGGAGATATATCAACAGTATGTTCGTACATGTGGAATGACCAAGGTGCTGACGTTGTTTGTAGACAACTGGGGATGGGAGACAGTGGTACAGCAGTCTATCTTCCAAGAGATCACAACTATACAAGAAATATGTATAGCGTAGAATGCATGGGAGGCGAAAAGAACATGTATGACTGTAACTACCAGGTGACTGACTACTCCGGGTCATGTGAATATGTGTCTGATGCTGGTGTTGAGTGTGCTTCCCAAGGTATGTTATACTTGAATGTTAAAAGGAAGAATTTTCTTCCGACAATACACTATGTTATTAAGAACTTAGGGTAAATTTGAACAATTCAACACAAACAGCGTAAAGAATTGAAAATACACTATAAGAGAATGAAAAATAAAAGGATTAACGTATAAACCAGCACATGCATTTCCAGACATAATTTGCATAAGCAAGGGTTTGTATTTTCTTGTGACATTATAAGTTTACATGTTACTCATCTGCATCGTACACTAAAGAAAGATAACAAAATTTGTTAAACGTTTAGTAGTGTTTACTAGCGATGACGTCATTCAGCAGTAATTCGTTAATTAAGATCAAGAGTACATCGAAAACTGTATGAGATAAGTTCTTTCATATTCGGCGATTGATTCTTAAATGCACATAGAGGGAGACAAATTAAGTAGTGTTGAAGAGGATTGACGTCATTTAGCAAAGTTATTAAGAGTTGTTCCCTCGAAAAAGACATACATCAGTAGGTATTCCACCTTTTACCTAATAGAACAAGGATATGTAATGCTCAAGTACAATAACATCTTTATTGAACCTGGTAAAACATTCCGTTTTCAGTAAATTTAAATAGTAGTAGGGTCTTCTTAGAGTTACATCTTTAAATTCAATAAAAAGTGATGATTTGAATAATGCCGATAACTTTCAGCTCAAAACGAATTGTCGTTTTGTCTTTTCAGTTACCGTGCGGTTAAAGCCAGAAAAGATTTTACACCAATCAAAGCTAATTATTGTTTATCGAATGGAAGGTATGATATATTTGATTTCTCTTTATAGTTGCAGGTAATATTTCAGTGTTTGTAGGATCTGATGGTCGAGTACTTTTGTACAACGCAGATATATATAATACTTCATCAATATGTTCCTATAATTGGAACGATCAAGATGCTACAGTTGTATGCAAGCAAACTGGCATGGGAGATATTGGTAAAGCAACATATATCGATCGGGATTACAATTTCAGTAGGAGTATGTTTAACGTTTACTGCACAGGTAACGAAACCGATCTATCAGAGTGTACATATGACACCAGTGACAGTATGGGAATGTGTGATTATGTTCAAGATGCTGGAGTTCATTGCATCGATACAGGTATGTTTTCGTGATAAGTGGTATCTAAACATGACCAATGCCATTATGATTATAAAATTTACAGGCACGAACTTGTTGCTAAAATTTCCGTTGTTCAATTCAAAACCATAAAAAGAAAAACATATTGGAAAAAAGAAGCATCTATCAGTAGGTGTACCACCTTTTAAATCCGTGTATAAGAAAAAAAGCCACATACAATGCTCAAGTACAATAATTAAATATATTTCATTTCGTTTGAAATTGGGGTTTTGCCGTTTGCTATTTGTAGGACTTATATATAGATGGGATCTAGTATAACTAGTTCTGCAACAGTATTTACGATTTATAAAATTTAATGTTAGGTGCATAAGGCACGAGAAAAGTTTTGGGCGGTTTCTACGGGTAGGTTTTTATGCTACTATATAAAGTTTGGCATTTACATGTATTAGTATCGAAGGTGCTCGCAGTAACGTAGAATCGAAGATAGTCACATGATCATATATACAGTTGCTGCTACGTTAATTACGTGTAATTATAATGTGTTTGAAAGGGAAAAAACTGTACAATTTTAAAAATAAAAAGTATATCGCAAGAAAAATAATATGTTACTGCGAGAAACTAATGCTATTTCTGCGTTTGTCTTGTTTATAGCCAATTGAATTAAGAGTAGATATACTTTAAATTCAGACAGAAGGGCGAGGGGAATTTGAAGATAGTAAAATATTAAGTTTTCAGTTTATTCAATTAGTAGTCGGGTATACTTACTTTTACATGTTTAAATTCAATAAAGAGTGATGATTTGAGTAGTGCTGAAATTTTTTCAGCTCAAAACGAATTGTCATTTTGTCTTTTCAGTTATCGTGCGGTGATAGCCAGAAAAGATTTAACACTAAATAAAGCTAATTATTGTTTATCGAATGGAAGGTATAATATATTTGATTTCTCTTTATAGTTGCAGGTAATACTTCAGTGTTTGTTGGATCTGATGGTCGAGTACTTTTGTACAACGCAGATACTTATAATACTTCATCAATATGTTCCTACAATTGGAACGATCAAGATGCTACGGTTGTATGCAAGCAAACTGGCATGGGAGATATTGGTAAAGCAACATATATCGATCGGGATTACAATTTCAGTAGGAGTATGTTTAACGTTTACTGCACAGGTAATGAAACCGATCTATCAGAGTGTACATATGACACCAGTGACAGTGTGGGAATGTGTGATAATGTGCAAGATGCTGGAGTTCATTGCATCGATACAGGTATGTTTTCTTGATGAGTGGTATCTAAATATTAACGATGTTTATAAGAGTTACATAGCTGAAGTTGTTACTAAAATATATGTTGTTCGGATTAACAGAATCATTACAAAAGCCATTGTACTGATCATTTTGAGTCCTTGTTAACACAAATAGAAAATCCAATGCAATGAAATCTATAGTTTTCCGGGTATAGGATACATTTGTAATACGGATAAATTAAATTGTAAGCATATTTCAATTACCAAAGATAAATAACGCAATGTAAAGTCTATTGTTACAATCATAAATTTTCTTCGCTGAGGATCAGAAAATACACGATCATAATGTTTCTTGTAGATCAGACCCAATTGGTTTTGGGACCGGATGGTCGAATACTCTTTTATAACACTCAGACAGGAGATATATCAACAGTATGTTCGTACATGTGGAATGATCAAGGTGCTGACGTTGTTTGTAGACAACTGGGGATGGGAGACAGTGGTTCAGCAATCTATCTTCCAAGAGATCACAACTATACAAGAAATATGTATAGCGTAGAATGCATGGGAGGCGAAAAGAACATGTATGACTGTAACTACCAGGTGACTGACTACTCCGGGTCATGTGAATATGTGTCTGATGCTGGTGTTGAGTGTGCTTCCCAAGGTATGTTATACTTGAATGTTAAAAGGAAGAATTTTCTTCCGACAATACACTATGTTATTAAGAACTTAGGGCAAATATAGAGCCACCATCCTCTATCGTGATCAGCCTAAAAACAACTTTCAAAATAAAAAATGTTCGAAATGTCTGAAAGAAGGTCACCAAACAAAAGATTGTACCAATGATTGGGTATGCAGATCATGTGGACAAGAAGGACACAAACAAAATGCCTGTACCAAGGATACTTTCTCAGACGTCCCCGAACAATCAGATAAAGAAAACAATGAAACAAGTGATGCGGATGATGAAACTTCTGAATCTGAAACTGGCACTGATGCAACACAAATATCCGTCCAAACCAACAATGATGTAACATGTGAAAGTGCATCAGCTACCGGAGTGAGCGGTCATGAAGGCGCATCATCTACTGAACGTGAAGGTGCATCAACTACTGGATGTGAAGATGACAATGGACAGTCGCAATCTATTATCAATCCTGTAGCTGATCCACAAAAACGAAAGAAAATAAAAAAAAAAGAACAGTAATAAAAAGGGTGATCCCAGTCAAGCTCAAATAACCTCATTCATGTCCGGTCATTAGAGCACACAAGAATCAACCAAAAAATCTCAAACTCCATCAAAACAACCTGTTAGTATTACATTTCTGAAGTCCCCAGTAACACCAACTGAGAAGCTTCACGACAAAGAGAGTGATTCTACTGCCAAGAGGTCCAAAACAACTGATACCTAATTATATACATACATGTAGTTAATTTACCTGTGTTTGTATGAGAATAAAAAACACAACAATATGAATATAATGATGTATTAAATTAATATTTTATTATCATTACAGGTATCATTCAACCACATTTAAAAAATTAATAGACCATAAAACTATAAGTCATCATTTAATTCTATATCACTCAATTATCAGTCTATATAATCACAACTAAATATCTCCTCTCTTATTAGTAATTTACAATCCTTTTGTAACTATGTACAATTTCTCACGTCCAGTGGTAAGCAGCGTGTGCACAATCTCAACATCTTTAGATCTTTTTTTTATTATTAAAATTCTTTGTGTCTTTTTTTATCACTTATTGCAAAGCTGCACATGTACATTCACTTCACATATATGTTTTCAAAAAGCTTGTCGGAAACTAACTCTTTCCTATATAATTGTAATAAATCCTTCAATAGTTTTGGTTAAAGCGGATATGGGATTATCATCTGTGAATCCATACACCAAACCTCAAAAGGATAAAGTACACCTACAAAAATCAAAACATAGATCGATTATTATAATTGACACTAAAACATTCATAAGTCATACAATACAAATATTGATCATAAACATACTAGTATTTCACTTAACTTATCAAGTAGCCAACAATACTATGCAACATTGGCTCTGTAAATACCATGTAAATAATAGTCCAGTATGTATTTTTATAGTACATGTAAAAACATTTAACAATTTTGTTTATATAGTGTTTAGTTTAAAGTCATGTTTTTTCTATTAATCATCTTTGTATATATTTTTCTATTGATTGTATTTGCATGTATGTATACAAACTTAATGAGTCCAAAATATTTTTTTTTGGACACAAAGGGGTCTGTATTTCAAGTCACATTGTTGACCCAATTCACGACCTATATATTGAGGTCAGTAACTGATATGTTGTGTAATGTTTGCACATTAATAATCATGATAATTATGGTTGTATATAGATGTACATATATAAAAAATTTAATACTGATAAAAAATGTCATACAAAAAAAACCAACAAAGCAAGGATAAAGATAAAATCTTAAATTCAAATTCATGTGGATTTACAGGTTCAACTTACTTTCAAACTGAACAAAACTCCTTAATTATACTAGCTCACCTTCATAATAATAATACAATATGATACATAAAAACTGTATCCATGTCTGCACCGTAAATACCAACGGGTTACAAAAATCTGAAAAATGAAACAGAATTATT